CCCTGTAAAAAAGTCACAAATGAAACTTGGATTTCTCGTGTAAAAATCGTAGAAAGAAATTAAAATTTTTGTCATCAAAACCCGTTCAAAATATAGATAAAATCATGCCATTTAAGTCACTTTTTGAATTATCCCGATATCTCAATCGGTTGCCGAGATATAAGGATTCAAAGTATTCATAGCGCTTAATACATTGCAGAAATTATGAATGGGTCAACGACCCACTGACCTACTTATTTTTCCAGGAAATGCATACTATGCATTTCTAGGAATCGCGTGTCGCTCGTCTGCAGTTTGGGATAGGTCAGCGAGTCGAGGCGGGAGCGAGAGGTCCGAGTAAGCGACAAGGACGAAGATAATAAACGATTAAAAATTACCTTTTTCTTTACACGACGATATCTCCGGAACCGGAAGTCGTATCGGGATAAATGAAAAAGCGTTTTAAAGGGCAAGGTTCCGCGCTTCCAATGATCTTTCATTCGTTGACCGGAAGTAATTATCTTCGGAGTTATAGCGGTTTAAACTTTTCCTAATTTTAATAGGGTTTTAAGATAAATTTCAAATAATAAATGTGTTTATTTTTGAAAAATTATTGTTTATAAAGGTTGTTAATAATTTATTTAATTAAATTCGGATTTAATTATGTTGATTTACTCAATTTGCATATGCAGATTTGATAAAAGAACGTTATATGAAATTAAAATTATATATGAAAGAAAAGGTTTTGTTAAAATTTATTAATTATATTAATAATTTATTAAAGGTATATTGAAATTACAGCATATAAATATCTATCCCCATGAAATGAAATTTTCACAACAGCAGCGTAATTTTGTTTTTACATTATTCATTATTTCGAGATTGAAGTTTAATTTTCCATAAAATTCTATAAAAAAAACCGTATATATGAAATAACGCAAATACAGCAACAATCGACACGAGGTTTCTATTTAGAAAGCATAGAAAAAATGAAATATTGTTAAAAAGTTTATATATTAAACAACGTTTATCAAGTTCAATCAAAAGGAATAGTTGTTTCGTATTCCACGCGAAAACATCGATGCAATAACATGTAATAAATTCCTTTGAAAAATACATATAGAATGCTACGTGGTAAAACATCAAGGATATATTCAACATAGTTGAAATATAATAGCAAAAAAGAATCGTGTTTGATTTGATTTTTTTCGATTTGTTATTAGTTTTTAAAATCAAATATTTGAGCTTCTTTTTTTCATAGGTGCATATTTATGTTATACACAATAATGTACAATGATCAAAAGGTATCAATAGACACATTATTTTAAAAAAATAAAATAGTAAAAATTGTAAAAATCAAATAATAAAAATAGAATAGATAAATAAATTATACCGAAACTATATAACTATATAATTGAAAAAGATTTTAAAATCGTATATTTAAAAGCTATAATAAATGAAATAAATAGCAAATAGATAAAATCACTCAAAAAAAACAAGGATTCCAAAATTAACAGAGCGTATCTAAAAGCGTATCTAAAATTGGCTCTTAAAATCATTGTACACGTTTTATAACATAAATTTCTTTTTTATTCTCCCAACACCAAATCCATTATTCGATTCTAATTCGCCTATCAAATTAGGACAATTCTAAATTTAAAAATCTTCAACTTCACGGATTGCAATTCTAAATTGGTTGATATCCACTTGATTAATCTAAAGAGATATTTTAGTTAAATTTAGTTAGTTTAGTCCAATCTAATTCTGGCAATCTGACGTTCATGCATCGCTGACATGACGTAAAGATGGCCATCGAGGATACTTGGTCGAAAGAGAGAGAGAGAGAGAGAAAAATCACATCGAGAATGGAAGCGAAGGACAGAGGAGAACACCTTCGTAATTCTCGATAAGTCCGTTTTAATACGTTCCAAGATTGTTTAATTGCCGCCACGTTTGCCACGCGCTCGCAATTCCCTCTTCTTCCTTGTTAACCCGGGAGCCATTTCGAAAATTTCTCATGAACGAAGTGTAACAACCCCTGGCCGGGTTACGAAATTCGTTAAGACGAAACTCCACATTCTTTCTACTTAAGCGCGATTTATTAGACGGACGCAATTTTCTTCTTTACTCGCGCTTAAATACACGTTTTATACTCGAGAATCCTCCTTCATTTTAATCATTTTTGTTTAATCACGATTTAAGTCCCATTCATGATCGATCTCAGAGAGAATGACTTATATTATAATTTATCAAAATAAATTAAATAAATAATTCAAACGAAACTTAACTCGAAGCTGATATTAAAAAAATATTTCAAACAAAAGGAAATATGAAGATGAAGTTTGTTTTTTTAAATGATTCTAATCTATAATAATCCGATATTATACAAATATCTCAATAAATATATCACGATGTCATATTATTACACATCGCTAAATTCAAACCATACATAAAGAAAATAATAACTTTTTCGTCTTTCTTGTTCCTCCAAGTTGTCTCAATAATTAATCCGTTGTTATTACTTGCAAAATTTATTTTATTCAAAATTCCATAACACGCACCATTAAACCGTTCAACTTTTGTCCGAAACATTTTTAAATATTAATGGTTCAATTTAAATGCGCCACCCTGTACAATATACTTGCATTAGATATACATTGTATACATAGGTCGGTAGTTTCAACGTTCTATTCCATAATACAAAGACAGATCTCACCGAGTACAACCGAGATGAAACGGGCAATTGTTCAAATATATAATCTCAGTTGGAATTCAGTTAACTAAAATTTCCCTCGCATAAACGGAGTTCCATTGTACACACACACATACACACATATACATATATACTGTAGATTTACTTAAGCACGTGCGAATAAGCATGACCATCGCGACCATCTTATCGGCACCGAAAGATCTATGAATCATCGTGACTGGCGCTTTCTGTCGAATCCAATGGAACTTCGTCCCAAAAAACCAACATCCTCTGACTTTTTATTCTCCCCCCTTGCCTTCTGTCCCATCTTCCGTCTAAACTTTCCACCCTTTCTTCTCTCCCCCCCCCCTCCTCTCGTGGAAAATTTT